CCCCCCCCCCATCCTCCTCTTCATGTTGCCTTCACTGTGTTGGTAGCCGGCTGTGTTTGACAGCTATGCCAAAGGGGACGCAGAACCCCCCCGAGTTTACTTTTTGCGTTGAGTTCTAGCTTAAACGGTCAATACTGAGCCACCCAGTCTCCAGTTTTTTGTTGTTTTGTTTCTAGTCTTGTTTGTTTTTCAAACTTACATGTTTTCAGCTGTGTCCTGTCAGTTTTTATGTGGCTCGTCTTCACTTTTGGGCTTCTTCTGTTCCTGTTTTTTGTGTTGTTCTTTTAAAGACTCACCAGACTGTGCCAGAAGGTTTACAAAAACCAAACCAGTATTTGAGGTTTACTTCAGCTGACTTATTGATATCAATTCCATTTGGATTTGACAAAACGCCTGACTGGAAAGTGTCTGTGCGGCACCGATGCAGTAAATGTCCCCTAACCCCCCCTGCTACCCCCTCTCAGCCCGCGCACGGCTGTCTGCGCCTTCTAGCTTTGACCACAGGTGCATTTTCTCTCTTTTTCGTTGTTAAACGATTCACTTGAATAGACATGTTTGATACAAAGGTCTTACACTGTTTTAAGTGTAATTAGACACTCAGGCTCGCCTCCTGTTTTTTCCCCCCTTCTTGAGCTTTGAGACAGTTTCTTTCCAATAAACTAAGGAAAATCTGTATGCATGGGAATTTGGAAAGCGGCTCTGGGGACACACCGGTAGGCATTATGATGGAACAGGAACAGGGCCGTCGCCCGTAGGTATGACACTGGATCTACCAAGCTACTTATCTGTTGTCTTTAACGTGCAACAAAACTCTTCATGCTCAAACAAATGTGAATAAACTTCCGTCGTCGCAAAACTGTTCTCTAAATTTATTTTTTCCCCCCCTCTTTCCTCGAGATGTCTTTCTTTGCAAAGAAACTCAGAATCCCAGTTCTGGGGTCCTGTGTGGGATGGGAACTGTATGACGGACCACCGGACGCCCGGAATGTCTGTCCCACCCCCCCCCCCCCCCTTACCATCACCCCCCCCGGCCAATGAGGTGGGACGCCACCCAGACACATGGGGCCAGCCACCCCCACCCCCCTCCCTCCCCAAAATAGCCCGAGCCGTGGCACGGCTCAGCCAAACGCTGCTGCCTCTGCCGGTGACAGGTCTCCGTGAGCCGCGCATTTTACGCGTAAACTTCAAGGTGAACTCGGTGCGAGGAGCCCGGGAGGGCCCCAGGATTACCCCCCCCCCCCCCCCATATATGGCAGCAACCAGGAGAGAAGCCGAACTCTTCCCCCCCCTCACATCCCCCCCCTTTACCACCACCACCACCCCTCCTTTTCCAGTACAGGTGCGCTCCGTTCCTTCCCGCGGGGGGAGAGTGGGGGGGAGTGGGAGGGGGGGAGGGCACAGCCGGGTTTATTCTGCAGGTAAAAACCAACCGCCCCGGCATTTGGTTGTTCGTTGCTTTCCTCTGAGTCTGGGAGACGTTCGGTCCCAGACGGGGCTCGGCTATTTTCGGTAGGCTGTTATTGCTCCCGGTGCACCCCCCAGCTATCTCAGCCTGCCTCTAGGTGGGGGCTGCCCCCCCCCCCCTGGCCGCAGTGGACCGTGTCCCCCCATTTCTGGTGGTCACAGTCCTGTTGGCGTTAGCAGCTCAAAGTCCGGTAGAACCGGTCCAGAATCAGTCTCCAAGGAGGAGACGCGTTACTTTTCTGTGTGTGTGTTGATTTTCCTCCTGTAAGTCGACCCCCCCCCCCCACCTCGCTATTATTAGACGTGACTCGGTGGGCCGGGAGCCCGTTTGCAGAGTATTAATGCTCCCAACAGCTGCGGCGGCAGGTCCACTGGAAGGGCATCTCCGCGCCTCCTCACCGCGCCGGTGTGAGTGTCAGCGACATATGCGCGCCCCTATCCCGTGTCTGGATTCACTAACTCGCCCATGCCTCGTGTCAAAAAACCTGCGCAAAGTCTAAACGTCGTTTAAGTGTTAATCGGAGGTGGACAGGGGGTAAAAAAGCCTGCCTCTTGCCCATCTGATCTGGTGTTGAGCGCACGAACCCAATAACCTGTCAAAGCCCGGGCAATGCGCCTTTTACGCAAAAAAAAGAAGCTATTTATAATACATAGCTCGTTTTATTTAACAAGAAATTGTTGTAACATGACGTTAGGCGCAAAGTTAATAACTTAATTCTTAATATATGTACTTCTCCGCTCTCGTTGTTGCGCGTGCGTAAAATACGAGTGAAAAGTGTCAAACTCGGAACTCTTGCCTTCAAACGGCTCAGACATTTCAAGTGGCTGAAACCTTCTATTCAAACTGGAGATGGAAAAAAAAACAGATACATGTTAAAGGCGTTTTTAATTCTATTCGACCATCTGCGTAATGCTTTCAAATGGTCTATGCAGCACCTGAGTGGGTCAACACCGTCAACGTGGACTAGTCAAGCCACGAAACCTGAAAGGGAACTCATCTGGATGGCAGCAAATGTTGCCCATAAATATTGTTCGGTGTTAAATCTGTGGAGCAGATTTGCGCGTCCAGACTTAACAGCCGCAAAGTCATTTCTATTTGATACCTATCTTTGAGTCGTTGCCTCTGATGCTGATGAATCTCCCCAAAGTTTGATTGAAAAAATAGTTTTGTTGTTATCAAGTCACTGTTGTACTACAGCCTGTACAGTCCTACAGTGGTTTGCGTTGCAGCATTTTAACTGAGGAAATCGTGTGTTTTCTTCCAGCACCATGCAAGACAGCGACATGGAGCAGCCTCCGTCCCTGTCCCGGCTCCTGAGGGAGAGCTACCTGGCGGAGGCCCGGGCCCAGCAGCAGCACAGCCGCTCCGATGCGTCCCCCTCGCGCTTCCAGATCTACGGCGCCCTCAGAGGGAAGGGGGAGGACGCCGTCGGCCACGGCGACCCCCAGCTCCCCGACCTGTCGGCCTTCCTCAGCCAGGAGGAGCTGGACAAGAGCGTCAACCTGGCCCGCCAGGCCATCGGACAGGAGCCCCGCGAGGACAGGGCGGAGGTCAAGGCCTCGCTGACTCTCCTGACCCCTGGCGGCACCTCGGCGGTTTCCTCCTCCGCCCCGTTCTCTGACCCTGCTCCTGCGTCTCCACCGGCTGTGTCCGTACCCCAGCCGGCCCCCGAGGTCCAGAAACCGCCTGCCGCCCAAACCACGGCCGCGCCGGACCGAAAAGTACACAAGGCGTCCACGCGGCAAGACAGCATGAGCCGGAGCACTAAGGACGCCACAGAGGGGCCGGACGAGTACGGCCGGCAGGCGAAGGGCCCCCCGTACGGCCTGGAGACCCAGTCTAAAAAGGAGTTCCTAAATAAGGCGGCTGACTTCATTGAGGAGCTTTCTTCCCTCTTCAAGGCCAACAGCTCCAAGCGAGTGCGGCCCAGAGCGTGCAAGGCCCACCGGAGCCGGACCCAGAACAAGGGCCAGGGCGAGGAGGCGGCTTACCCCCTCAGCTCCGAAAACAGGGAGCGGACTGTGATGCCGGCGGAGGTGGAGAGGGAGCGCCCGGGCCCCGCCGCCCCCCCCCGCGACCCGGCCGTCCAGCAGGAGCCGGACAGCGAACGCGCCGCGTTTAGGGACGGCAGAACCAACGAGGAGGAGGAGCACTTTGACCCCGTGTCGCAGGAGACCGGGGAGCAGGCGGAAAGCTTTCCCCTAACACAGACTCCGTATTCAGCGGAGCCCGTGTGTGAGCCTCCGCATTTTGTTCAGAAACTGAAAAGCAGGGAGGTCGCTGAGGGCAGCAAGGTCCAGTTAGACTGCATCGTGAGAGGATGTCCTACGCCCGAAGTCCGGTAAGAAAACACCAAGCAGCTCTAAAGCCCATCAGCTTGCATGTGCACATTTATATCTAAGTAGAAAAGAGTCGATGCTCTTGGGCTCTTTTTTAAAAATCTGACTGTTTTCATGGCAAACATGTGCATTTGTACCCTCATCTGACTCTGGTGTTCAGGGTTAGTTCCATACAGCTACAGTATAGAACAAACATGTCTGCCCTGCTCCAGGTCATAATCTAAAATCTAACTCTAACTCCTCATCCATTTAGTTACTTGTACCATGTCGATGCCCAGACATAGCAGAGGAGAGTTCTTCTGGTTGCTGAACCTCAAGTGCAGGAGGAACAACATGGTTTTAGCCTAGTGATGGCCAACTGGTAGTCAGGCTGACCACCAATGGGGCAACTCTGGAAAATAGATCCAGGCAGAATTGATCTGTATAGTTATAGAGCAAAGGAAGTCCAAGGGTGGTGACTTTTTTTTTATTTTGGGGCAAAGAAAATGATCACCCCCAAAATCAACTGCCAAGATTTCCTTTTATGGGATAAGGATACTCTTTAAAGTAAATATAATATTTTTTCTTGTCATGTGGAGGATTTTTGGTTATTATTAGTGGCCTTTTTCATAAGTGTAAGAGGGATAAAGTGATGGGGTTGAAGGTGGGTCCATGCAACATCTGAGTCCTGCCTGGTATGTATGTATGCAGATTCAATCAGGCATTGCCTCTTTAGATATTTGAATATCACAGCACTTATGTTGAAAACAGTTTTTAACCTAGTTGATAAATCAGGGTTATAGTACATATGTATTTTCTCCTTTATTTCAGTTGTCTTTTTTATCCTTCTGTTTATTTTTGCTCTTGGGCTTCACAGCAACTACATCACTGCTGTAAAACGAATGTTACCCATGCAGCCACGAATGTGAATTTGTTGTCATGCAGGAGATGCAGGCAAAGAGACACCAGCAGAGCCTACCAAATATATCACATGCAAATGTAACACGGTTGTACAGAACTATAGTATACACCTGCATACTCAGACATTTTACAATTTTAATAGAAAGCAAACATTAGCCAAAATACAATCAAATCAGACAAAGGGCACACTATGACAAACTGCGCCATTAAATTAAGTCTATAAGGTTTCTTCAGTCCATCTTCATCCAAACTGAAAATCAGCTGTACATAGCTGACTTCTTTTTACAGTTCTTTTTATTTATATTTCATTAGAAGTGGCTCATACGTGCTTGTTTTTCCCTTTTTTTCTGCCATGTTAAAGAAAGGTTAGTCCTTTCAGCATCAGTGTGAGGAGAGTGATTGGTATTGTTTTTTCTTAATAATCCCCGTCCTTTCTTTTTACAAAATACCCTGCCGCCATCATTAACCATTTAAAACTTAATGTTAAACAGTTATGTCATGTGTATACACTCATACATTTGACAAAAGTCAGTAAAGTGATGAAATATTGTAGAACTTACCATTTTTTTTCAAGATTTATCATTTTTCTAATCAGAAACATATGAGTTACATTGTCTAATGATAAAATATAAATGACAAAAAATTATTTTATTGCATTCTCTCTATCATTGATTAATTCCGCTTATTCCCTAATGGGGTTGCGGGGGGACTGCAACCTAACCCAGTAGTCAGTGGGTGAGAGGTGGGGTGCGCCCTGGACGGTCCATCTGTCCATCGCAGGGCCTCTCTTTGACTATTTACTGTCATCTAAACGTAACTATTGAACTTCTGACAGATTTCTTTCCTTCTTTTGTCCGACTGTTTGCACCTTTCAACATGGGAACATGCTGTATGTGTTTCTAAGGTCGCTCTGATTAAGTAGAGAGCACTTCAAGGCGAGGAAGCCAGGGAGAATGATGCCGTGGGCAATGCTGACAGAAGTGACATGTGATGATAGTCAACAGCTGATTCAGAAGAGTGCCAGTGTGTGCTCGTGTAGGTGTGGGCTCGTTTGTGTTCAGGGGAGTAAATCACAACAGCCCAAGTTTTCTTTTTTCTGATCTGAGTTAGCAATTACTGTCATGGAACACAGCTTTATGCCTCTCGTTGAGCTCCCGGTGTTGGAGAAAAAGTGTTGACATCAGGCTCTTGTATTAATGCTCAGTATTAATGCTTCCTCATGTCTGTTTGGTTCGACATGTCTTAAAACAAAGCTTGGACCTCTAAATTCCCTCCCACCCTGACAAAGGCAGAGTTGAGGGGGAAGCAGCTGAGGTGGTGGACTATAGGGGGCATGGGCTTGTTAGCCCTTCTGAACATTGTTGAGCCACTAACTTATACTTGTCCAGGGAGAATGTAGCTCTCAGCCATTTTTAGACTGGACTGGCAATGCGAGCTGTGGTCCTGTCTGATAATGGGACTGACAGAGCTCTCAGCGGAAGCATGAGAAGTTTGGTAAGATTATTTACACAGTTTTCCCTCTGTGTATGCTTTTAAATGACTTCCCCATGATTTAATAACAAACAGGTTTGATGATGTGAGATCTGATCCTCGTGGCTTTCCTGCTTGGCTCTAATTTGTGTATGTTTTAGTATAACTGGGATTTTTTCTTTCAGTGTATTATTTGCCTTTTTCTGTAGGTGCAGCTGTGATAAGTTTGGCACAAAATGGCAGATTTTATTTCACATTACAAGGGCCGTGTGCTGCCTCTTGTGTGTCAGTGTATAGCATTGTGTGTACTCTGTGTCTAAGTTTAGCGTTGTGCGTAAGGTAGGGTCAGGCAGTTAGAGATCCCAAGCTCTGGAGGGAACCTCCTCTCCGGTTCTGATCTCTGGAGGGAAAATAACCCGGACAGGTGCTGCCTCATAGGCCTCCCACCTCCTCTGCCACTCATGCCTTCCAGTTAGAACCTTACTCATTAGACGTGACACAGCTCGGCTCGGAACGAACGTCAACAACACATTCCGGCATAGTTGCCTTTGTTGTATCCAACATTCGGCTCTTCTCTTCCTCTCGATCAACTATCCGGAATTGAAAACAAATACATAAAAACTAAGACGACTCCCAGATTGTCTTTTTTTGTGTGTATGAACTGTTTTGGGAAACACTGCTGGCGACGGGTTTATGGCTGCGTGATGACATCGTGCCAGAGAGTTACACATCGCCCTATTCCTGTTTGCTTATTGGCTGGATTTCATAAAGCATCCAGGCCTCATCCTCTCAAAATAGATGTGTACTGACGTAGAGGCCGCGCATATGTTGCTGGTCAGGACAGAAGTAAGATCTTTACAACTCTACTTTTAAAAATTAAAAAAATAGATCATTGCTATATTTGAATGTTACTCAGAGGCCTTCAGTTTAAGTAGGTATCATGGTTTGATAGAATTTTATAAGGTTATTCACAGATTTGTGAGCGAAAGACCAGATTATCCCAGTTGGAAAATCAAGGCCATGCTCGGTGTCTCACAGGCAGAGGACTTGCTCATCAAAACATTTCCTCCCGGCCAAATAAAGTCTTTGGGCCATAAAAAACATTTGAGAAGGACTCTATGTGGTAACCACCTCATAGAAAAACTATTTAGTAGCAGGAAAAAACAACAGAGGATCGTGTCAAAAGTGACTGTGAGCTTAGATTGTTTGATTAGAAAAATCTTTAAAAATCTTAGGTTAAAAAAGAAAAGAAAAGTACAAGTGGTACAAAAAAAAGTATGGATAAAGTTGTAAAAAGAATATTTTATTTCTTGAAAACAAGTGCAGTCTAGTTCTATGCAGGCTTACCACTGTCAGGGAGACAGGTGATTTGATTTGATGTAGAAGATTTTTCTGTTTCTGTTGCCTTGCAGGTGGTTTTGTGAGGGCAAGGAGTTAGAGAACAGCCCCGACATTCAGATCATCACCAACGGGGAGCTGCACTCTCTCATCATCGCAGAAGCGTTCGAGGAGGACACCGGCCGCTATTCCTGCTTTGCGTCAAACTTCTACGGGACAGACTCCACATCGGCAGAGATCTATGTCGAAGGTGATTCTCCTCTTTTGTTTTTTTCCCCCCAATGTTTTCATCCACGTGGGCTCACGGTTGTGTTCCTGTGTTCTTACAGGTGCTTCTTCTTCAGACTCAGAGGGAGATCAGCTATTTGAAAATGTAGCCCAGTGAGTTTCTTTAAACCTACTGTCACCATTAAAAGCCAACAAAAGAGTAATATGGAGTGATGCCAACACAGGGTGACTCTTTTTCTCCTTTTTATCTCCTTTTTGACTCCCAAAGGCTGCAGGGGAAACAGTATAAGTCATCCTCACCTTCACCTCCATTGTCCAGCCAAAGCCTTCCTCCAGAGGAGGACCTCTCCGAGTCGTCTCAACCTGAGGAACCAGCCGAGGAACTCTCGTCTCCAATATCCAGCCCAGCAGCCCCGGAGTTTCATCTGCCGGCGCGGGCATCTGCTGCCCTCCTCCCAGTTCCAGAGCTGTCCAAAGCCTCTGTGGCCCATCCTGCCCCGGAGCATACGGCCCTTTTGGCCGCGCAGGCGCCGCAAACCTCGTCGGGTGACAGGGAACTTAGCGAAGCTCAGCGGTTGGCAGCATCCCTCCCCGTCACACCCGCACCCCAGCAGGAGCCGGGGCCACCGGCTGAGTCGGGGCCTTTAACCCCAGTGGTGTCATCAGTGCTGGCTGACCCCACGTCTCCTACACAAACACTTCACCTTCAGGTAGTGTGGCCTAAACGTCTCCGGCAACTGCCTTTTCACTTCCACCTGACTTGTAAAGAAACTGACCGGGATCTCCCTCTTTCAGAGTCAAACTTCAAACCACATCTTCCCACAAGGATTAAACGGGCAACCTCTCATGGCCGCTCCGGTATTCACAAAGGTAGGTGGATTTTTTTGACGGACGAGGCGGTGTAGGACTTGCCCGCTGATGTGATAACGCGGCCTGTCTCGCGCCGCCAGAGCCTGCAGGACCTCACTTCAGCGGAGAACCAGCTGGTGGTGCTGGAGTGCCGCGTGAAGGGGGTGCCGTCGCCTCGAGTGGACTGGTACAGGGAAGGCAAAATCATAGAGGACTCTCCCGATTTCAGAATCCTGCAGAAAAGTAAGCTTTGGCTCCGGCCTTCTTACGTAAAAGTCGGTGTGCAGGAATGTAACAAAAACGAAGGTGGATAGGGTGAACGTGGTTTGAAAGTTTCATTTTTGGATCCGATCTAGTAAATATTCTGGTGTCCATCATTGTGTTCACCTCAGTAAATGCATAAATGTGTACAAAAAGATTTTGTTTTATGGTCATTAGGATTTGATCATTCCTTAGATGCTCAGTGGGGCATAACAGCAGTCAAAGCACATCTGAACCAAAGCAGAAAATGTATTCCTTCCAAATGGGGTTGTACCCTTTCTGCACTAAAGTCTGAAAAATGGCTTAACAAGTTAACATTTTGTATTAAGTTAATGTGAACAGACCCTTTAGCAGTAACACTGAGTTTCAGCACATAGCCAACAACGCTTTCTGTTTCTGTTTCAGAGCCCAGATCTCCAGCTGAATCAGGTACGTTCTTCAGTCTGAGTCCTGCTGCATGCTGTCTGGGAGCTGTGTTTGTACTCATCCCTCTGGTGAAGTGTTTATAGTCCTTGGCTGGAGTGTCTGTGCTTCTTCTGTATATAAGCCAGGGCTGCTTTCCTTTGACTCTGGACCATATATGGCATTCTCCTATGCTGTCTCGAACCTCTATGGCAGATCAATTCAGCTTGTACCCGCTGCACACAGCCTTTCAGCCACAATGATGCAAAGAAAAACCCACTGCTGAACCTTCGAAAGCAGTTCATGGATATTCAATCATTTCCGTGTCTTTTCTCTCCCCATCACCTCCAGAGGAAATATGCACTTTGGTCATCGCTGAGGTATTTCCAGAGGACTCGGGAATGTTTACCTGTACTGCAAACAACAAATATGGCACCGTTTCCAGTGCTGCAGCACTGAAGGTCAAAGGTAAGCCTTTGTTTTTGCTTCACAGAACAAATCCGATTCTGATTCTCGGACAGAGCCACCTATCCGTGTCTATGTTTCTCCTCAGGCAGTGGCAGCAACAGCAGCCACGTGAGGCCTTTCAGCAGTTTACCGGCGGAACCGAATCAAATCCAAGGCTTTTCCCCATCAGCAAACCCTCATCCTGAGGTCAGTGTGACGAGCAGCATCAAGCCCCACTCCAGCACCATCCGCCTGGACCCTCTCGTCCCCACCGCGTTGCGCCTGGACCCGGTGAACACCAGCACTCTTCGCCTGGAGCCCCACGCCCTCCGCACCAGCCTGCCCAGTCTGGAGCCCTCCAATCTCACCAGCAGCTTCGGCCTGAACCCCCGCAGCACCAGCACCCCGACCTTAGATCCTCTCTCTCTCCACCGAGACTCTCTCGGATCCATCGGAGGGCATTCGGAACCACAAATCGCCCACCGACAGATTCTCCCCTACCCAAAGCCCTTTTCTGCGTCCGGCACCGCAGCTGAGCCGGAAACGCCGAGGCCCTCAGCGGCATCGCCTGAGAAAACCCCCAAAGACAAGGGCACCCCGAACCACCTGAATGGCAGCCCCGTGGTGGTGCCTCTGCCCGACCCCCCTCCGAACTCCTGCCTCAAAACCGGCACCCTGACCAACCACAGGGACTCGCGCTCCGGCTCAAGAGTTGGCCTGCGGGTGCACTTCAAACTCCCCGAAGAGGAAGCAGAGTACGAACAAGGTGACGAGTCCAATCACTCTGATGAAGACTTCGGCTTTGGATCGGTCTGCAAAGAGCCCCCACCAGTGCTGGCTAAACCCAAACTGTGAGTAGATCAAAGAGCCAGCAAATAGAGGAGTCTGTGTAATTAGGAAAAAGTGTAGGATTTTTGCCATTTCGTGCCCTTAACTGGTCTCAGAGTAGACGGGCTGTGTTTTGAACAGCAGATATGAGGTGGGCGTTTCCTCCCAAAGTAGCTCACACAGCAGCCGTAATCATTGTAGCTCAACATCTGAGTGCATGTGGACTTCAGATGTGGATCTTCCGGCTTTCTAAAACAAAGGATGGAGTTTTTTATTTGTAAGTTTCCTTCCGTGCATTTACATTGATTTATTCCAGAAAAAGCTGCAATTAGATCTAATTTAGTTGGTTTTTGATGTTGTTTGTTAAAATAACATATTGAGTTAAAAGGCATCAGGATGAATCTGGTATATCGTCAGAAATAGTTTACTGTGGAGAGATTTGCATGAATTTGACGAGGAACAAAAGAGCGGTTATGTTTAGACTCCGTGTGTTTAACGCTTAGACGAAGCTGTTTGCGGGTTGCTTGTTAGTGGTCCATAAAAGGGCAGAGTGTTCCTCGGGCTGGCCTGGGCTCATTCCTGCTGGGGTTTACAGCTGCTCTGAACTTCAGAGTGAACAGTGGACTGACTCCCTCGCAGCCGCTCCATGCACAGCTTGGGCTGTTCTTTTTACGTTGCTTTTGTTTGATCGACAGGGACCCGGCCCAGCTCCAGCTTCTGCACAACCAGGTCCTCATGGAGCAGCAGCAGGACACCGAACCCCCCGCCAAAACCCACGCCCCGCTTCAGCCCCAGCCCCCGTACCAGGTCCAGGTCCAGGTCCAGGCCCAGGCCCAGCTTGAGCCCCAAAGCTCCCAGGAAAACTCCCTTTGGTCCCCCAGAATGCACCGCGAACCCCACCTGCAACCTTTCCAGTCTCACCTCAACACGACGACGCCTCCGCCCTTCGTCCCTCACTCAGCCCCTCCTCCCACCTCCTCCACCACCCCCCCTGCTCCCTCACTGACTTCTGCTCCCTACATTTCCCCTCTTCCTAAGACCTCCCCTCCTGCCGTACCTCAGCTTAAGACCTCCTCCCTGGTGACCTCCCTGCCTCCTGCCCCACAGCTGAACGCAGCTGCTGCTCTCAGTGCAGCGCCGGTCAGCCAGGTCAGCAGCATCCACGCCTCCCACCTGAACCTCTCCCCAGCCGCTCTGGCCAGAACCGCCCCCAACCCGCCGTTTTGTTCCCCCCCGGCTCCAAAGCTAAGCACCGCGCCCGTAGATTCCGCTCCGAGCTTACAGCAGATCACCTCCCCCAGCCCGCTGCTGAGGAGCACCCACGCCTCCCTCATGAATCTGACCGCCGTCTCTCACAGCTTCAACTACACCCGGCCAAAAGAGTTTATCGCCGCCCAGACTTTCTCACCGGTCAGGAGTCCTTCCCCGACCGAGTCGCCGGTCCCTCTGCTCCAGGAGCTGGCTGCCGAGCTCAACTCTTCGGCGGCGAGCTCCCCCACTCTCCCACCATTCTCCCCCCCGCCCAGGATCTCTCCCACCAGGGTGCTGAAGTCCCCCACCAGCCCTCCGTCCCTGGTGTCCTCACCCACCCCGGGATCGGCGCCATTCCTGAACAGCGTGTTCGCCTTACGAGCCCAGTCACCCCCACAGGCCTCTTCTCCCACCTCCAGCAGCTCCAGCCCCAGCCCCATTCAAAACCCCGTTGCCTTCCTCAGCTCCGTCCTGCCCTCGCTGAGCCCGAGCCAGCTCACCAACTCCATGGGTCTGCCCAGAGGGGCTCCGCGAGGGTAGGCCTATTCTGCCGGCCTCCGGTGTTCGCCAGGCTGTAAGCGGTCAAACATCAAATATACCACGCCTTCCCCCCTCTTCCTCTGCAGGGTTCAGAAGAAGGTGCCCAAGATACGTCTCCCATCAGCCGAAAACATCCGCGAAAGCAAGGAAATTCTCCTCCAGGACATTGAGAAAAAGCTTCAATTCAAAGACGACGCTCCAACATTTGTGCATCAACAGGTATGAGAAATGTGAGGGGCAGCGCAGAGTCTTCTTCATTTTCCAATAACCCAAACTGCAGGGATGTAGTGGCATAGAAAAAAAACTATTAGTGTTTCACCGCTAATTCCAAACTAACCAAGTGTTGCATATACGTTTTTTTATGTTCCCTCTAAGACACGATCGTGTATTAGCCATTTACTGCGTTGCTATTCGATTTGCTTTCAGCTTTCTACCTGTGAATATGAACAATCCTCTGTCCAAAAAAAATTGGGACTTTGTGTTGGGAGTTGAATGAAAACAGAATGCAATGATCAGCAAAAAATTCATATTACTATTAAATATCATTATCCATTTTCAAGCTAATCACCAATCTATTTAAACAATTAAATGATCCAGTGACAAAAATAGGTGATAAAACACTGTGGTAAACGTGCTTTTTTGAAACATGTAGCTGGCATCAAATTGGAACAAGCGCAGGAAAATACTCAATATAGCTTTCAATGTTATGTCACTGATTTTGTTATCACCACATTCTGCTTTCATTTGTATTATACACAGCATCCCATCAATCTTTTTTTGAGAGAGACTTGGTTGCACATATGTAAACAATCTGAGCTGATTGTCTCTCAACAGGTGTGTTAAAAAAATAGAAAAGAAAAGAGCACGTTCATAAATGTGAGGCACACGGTCACTCAGATTAACTCAGACCCAATGATGAGCTGGCCTCAGTTCAGCGCAGCATCAACTCTCGTTCATGTTCCTTCATCATTGTGAGTCCACGTAGTGTAACGCCATTCAGCGTGCGTGCCAATAACAACAGCCTGTGTGTCATTCCATCGGTATATGCTTGTATGTTCTGTTTGTGTGTCTTCAATGTTCATCATCCATCCCTATCCTCTCATAGAAGCTGAGTAATAAGGGGAAAACAGCGAGCAGACCCCTTGGACCAAACATTCCTGCTACTGTCATTAACTATGATGAGGTACAAGGACCTTCACGTTCCAAGCACTGCTTTGCTCAAGGCTGAATGGGTTATCATAACATCTCAGAAAATACCAAATTTGGATAGTCTCATACTTACATACATACAATTGTTAATCAATAAGTCTAATCAAGCACTCCAGCTTGTTAACTAATAAATAACCTGCTCGAAAATATCTAAACAAAAGACCTGAGCATTCATGAATTAATTAAATAAAACGTGTCTACTTTTTATTAATCTGTATACAGTTTTAGTGAAGTTGATGTTTTTCAGTGGCTGTAAGTCATAAGTTCCAACCCCCCTTTTTGAAAGAAAGGAAATCCAGCTGATTTGGTGTCTACTGTTGTCCAACATACAAAAGGCCCCCAAGAGGATTTTAATAGTTAGCAAGTGAGGTGTTTAACATCCAGAGATGGAGGTTTTTAGCACCTAGCACCTTCTGTTCTCTGTTTTACCCTCAGCCTTATTTGGTTTGGTTGGATGAACAAAATATTTCACCAGCCAGGAGTGATACCAGATGATGTTGCTGCATGAATCTTATCAGCCTAGTTGTTTACAACCCAGTTTCCATAAAAGGTGGAGGACTGTCCAAAAAACAACAAAATAAAACCGGAATACTGAGAGACCAAGTGTGGTAAAACTGAAAGAAAATAACCTGCTTGAAACATTTTTTTTCTGTGATGTTTTAATACAAGCTGAACAGGAGTTTGCATTGCCTTGTTGAAATGAGCAAGACCTTCCCTGAAGAAGGTATTGTTTTTAATGGTATCCTTTGTAGCACCAAAACTCTCCAGCAGTTTGTCTGAATGCAAATCTGTATCAGTGTTTTTTTTGCTAGAAGGATTTTATGTCGAAGGAGCTCATACTGTGCAGATATATACATTGATGTAGTATGAGTGTTTTTCTAAAAAGAACAATTTTTTGTAACTCTGTCCAAACGTATTTTTAAACAATGAAATCACAAATTAGTTTAAAAAAACAGGACTTTTCAGTCCTGACATCTTTCTTTTTTTTCTGATAAATTATAGGCTTGAATAATTGGCCCGTGACCCCATAAGTGAAAAAGTGGTTATGATCATGGATGGATGGATGGATGGATGGATGGATGGATAATTGGCAAATCCAATCCACTCTGCTCTTCTTTTCCTGTTTTTATTGTTGTTGTTAATAGCGTCCCAACAGTTTTGGAAACAGATTTGGGTTGTAAAAGCCACTTTACTCTTGTCTTTGTGACAAGATGCTAGTAAAAGATGGTCCCCTCCGCTGTTGCCTCACGCGGCGCAACAGATGCACGCAGTTTTATTTCCCTTACTTTTTTATATATGCTGTCTCATCGCGTATGCATGGTACCGCAGTCTTCAGGACTGAGGCAGGATTGAGGGAGGCACGGATTGCGCATGCGAGAATGTCACTGCTGCGACGCCCTTTATGGAGTAGTTTTCCTTCCCCCAGGAGTACAAAGTGTCCAATTTTGAGCAAAGGCTAATGAGTGAGATCGAGTTCCGTTTGGAGCGGACGCCGGTGGAGGAGTCAGACGATGACGTCCAGCACGACGACGTCCCCTCCGGAAAGTGCATTGCGCCACTCTTTGACAAGAAACTGAAGAACTTCAAGGCTGTCGAGGGTGTGCCCGTCACTTTCTCGTGTAAAGTTCTGGGAATCCCACCTCCAAAGGTGAGACGCGCAACAGCTTCATTCCCCCCCTGATGGTCTTATCGTTCACTGTTCACCATGTTTCTCACAAACACCTGTGTCACCTCTCAGGTTTACTGGTTCAAAGATGGGAAGCAGATCTTGAGGAAAAACCTTCATTACAAGAAGATCAGAGAGGGGGATGGGACCTGTGCCTTACACATAGAGTCCACGACCAGTGACGATGACGGCAACTACACCATCATGGCAGCCAACCCACAGGTATCACTCCAGCCCCGTCTCCCGGGGATGCTGTCAGCACCTCCCGCCTGGCATCTCAGGCTGATTTGTGATTTCCTTATTTGATGATCATCAGGGACGAATCAGCTGCTCGGGTCATTTGATAGTCCAAACCGGACCGCCCCGGAGCCGACTGCCGCCCATTCATTCTCAGAGGTGAGCGGGCCCGAGTGGGAACGCGTTCTGCAGATGTTAGCTCAGCCCTCCTGCTGCAGGGGGCGCAGCCACCACTCGTAATGATGTTTGGGTAACCCTTCACCCTTTGCACCCCCCCCCCCCCCCCCCCCGCCAAAGTGCGGGGACAGCCGAACCCGATACGGATTCATAACATGTTTCTTTTTCACACCCCTCCGCACGTGGCCAGAGTGCGAGCGCGCATACAGGAGGTGGAAGGGGAGCAAACCCAGGAGCGATTCTTCCGCCCCCACTTCCTCCAGGCTCCGGGGGACATGATGGCTCACGAGGGAAGACTGTGCAGACTGGATTGCAAAGTAGGTAGCGCGGACTCGCGGAGCCAGTCGTAAGACAAGGCCAGCAAAATGAGTGTCCTGCGTCTTAGCTTTTTCTTTTCTTTTTTACCCTTGTAGGTGAGCGGCCTGCCTAACCCAGAGTTAATGTGGCTGGTCAATGGCAGGCCAGTCTATCCAGACCTCTACCATAAGATGCTGGTGCGGGAGAACGGCATCCATTCCCTGGTGATCGACCCCCTGACGCAGAACGACGCGGGCACCTACACCTGCATTGCCAGCAATAAAGCCGGCCAGAGCTCGTTCAGCCTTGAGCTGACTGTCGTGGGTGAGCGGCCGACGCTATCCAACGCTCTACGTTCTCAGCGGCAAAGAGGGGCGCGCCGTCACATCCTATGTGATCTCTCTCTCTCTCTCTTTTCAGAGAAGGAGATGAAGCACCCGCCCCAGTTTTTGGAGAAGCTGCAGAACATGGGTATCCCTGAGGGGACGCCTGTGAGGCTGGAGTGCCGTGTGCGGGGGATGCCCCCTCCGGTCATCTTCTGGAAGAAAGACAATGAAACCATTTCAAAAACGAAGGACAGAATCAGGTGAGCTGGAAGTGTGAACGCGCTACCCAAATGCAGCAACACCCAAACTCACTATCCAGACGTTCAGTGCATGTCCAATCGCACTCTATGCATAGCATATAACATTTACCCCACCGGACTCCCACAAAAAACTCATTTCATTCAAATAATTGAATTCCCCATTTAGTTTTTTTTTTTCCATTTCAGCATGACCCAGGATTCCACAGGATACGTGTGTCTCCTCATCCAGCCAACAAGAAAAGACGATGCGGGCTGGTACACAGTGTCAGCCAAAAATGAGGCTGGAGTTGTGTCTTGCACCTGCAGACTTGATATCTATGGTAAATACTTTGTGTAGTTGCGTGGCCCTGGGCTTCATTTGAGAGAGCCGCTCTGTCAGTGTGTGTAGTAACGCGAGCTTACTGCTGCATCTTCAGCACAGTGGCATCAGAGCGTCCCGGCGCCCATGAGGAAAGCTCCGAGAACAGGCAGCCGCTACGCCGCTCTGACAGGGCAGGGGCTCGACATTAAGTCGGCTTTCCCCACGTCAGACACCAGTCCCATCCTGTACGCCAGCTCCCCTCCTGAGGCCACGCTGGAGAGCGAGGAGCTGTGAGCGGAAAGAGTTGGGGAGGGGGGGGGATGGGGGAGTTGGGATCCTCACGGGGCCTTCCAGTACATTCTGTGACTTCCCTGAGGTTAAGAGGGCTTAGAGCAGAGCAGGTTTAGTGTGATTTGAAGTGTTGCATTCAGATTAGAATGGCAAAGATTCACATTCAAGCTGCCAGCGCCGATAGTGGGTTTGTCACCATTCCTATTTACTCAAGTCATATGAAGAGTGTTTTACACACAGATTAAATTAAAAAAAAAACACACTAACCAGATTTGCAAAGTCTTAGCTCATGAGCCACTGGTGGAGTTGGATATTGTTTTCGGATTGGTTTGAATGATTCACTTTTATTTTTGCCGTCTGACTTAGCTGTGATGTCAAAGTTGCCGAAAGCTGGTGAAGATATCTGCTCTTAACTGTTCGTCTTGTGCTATGGAGGGTTGCCACGCCACTTGTCTTTACTGTAAATCCAGCACAACTGCAAGAGTTTATCATTATGAATCAGAACAGGTTTAGAATATAAGTGGGATATGGCCAGATTTCCATATTATATGTTTCAGACTCCTAATTTGTCGCCCTGTCTACACACAGTTGTCCACAGATTCCAACTATGTTGGATGGGGATTGCCAAAGCACTGGCAATAGTTCTCAGTCATTACTCTTTGGCTTGTTGTTCCACAACCCAAATTCCCAGATGTTGGGGTGCTATACAATATTCATATAAAAATAAAAGATTTAACAAAGTATAACATAGTTTACATAAACCATGTAAAAGGTGCCAATTTTACTGGCTCAAAAAAGAAACTGGATTTCAATGCTAGCAAGATGTGTGAAAATAGTTCAAATGGAGGAAACAGAAGACTGCCAAAGTAAGTGATACTAAAAAGAAAAAAAGGTGGAGGAAATGCAATATGATTAGATAAAAGGAAAGCTGCAGGGAGAGGCTGGGGGTCAGAAATCTGCTTAAAACTGCATCTACAACTGCAAAGACTTTAAATAGTCTAACATCTACTGTACATGATATCCTCCCCATCAAAAAAACATAAATAATTCTCACAATATTTTCTGTTTTTAATGGGACATTGCCTTACTAAATCTCCCTATCAACATATTCAGCTGTTTAATTATATTTTGCACGGCATCCAAATGCTTTTTTACCCCTCTGTCCTGAGAGGGGGGGGATTAGTCCATGATAGGCTGAATAGAATTTCCAAACCTGTAACATGCCCCTGGCCTATGAACCCATTAAGATATGATCTACAGGTCTACAGGGTGCCTTACATCTTAGTGGGTTTAGAAATACTTAAATGTGCAATTTATTTGTGCAAGTCATTTATCTAAAGCCTCCAACAGGGTGGGATTCTAAGCACATTAAGTGATTTTTTTTTTCCTTAAAGTGTATCACTGCTTTACATTTCTTTCATATGCTTGCATGCCTGTGGCTGTTAAAGATGTAGATATAACCAAACAAACATGCTGTGCCCCCTCAGAATTAGATTTCCCCCCCCACCCCGTTTGGTTTATTAATCTTTGTGTTGACAAATATTTAGAGCCAAGAACACGTGTGCAGTCAAACACGTGTTATCAGAGAAATAAGTCGGATTCGACTTAAAAGCGCATGAAAAATGTCTCCTGGAATTGTTTTCTTAGTCAAAAATATTATGCAAGGACTTTTACAAAACATGAACATGAGTGATTTAATATATTCAAGTCAGTTTGGAAAACTATTGGACAGAGATTGAAAGCTTATATTCATCTGATGTAAAGTTGCACACTGTAAAATAGTCTTGTCCTCAGAATAAAATTATATTTATTCAAACAAGTGATGTGTTTGATTTGCTTGAACGAATGCTTTGGACCTCACCTTAAATCCTGTCTGATTTTCTGATAGGGTCAGCCCCTTTTGTTAAACTTTGTTAAACTCAGTTCCTAAAAATCTTAATTTCTCCTTTTTGTATTTAAAGCTTGTTGTGGTTCTGGTGTAATCAGAGCTATATTATCTTAAGCAGATTCCAAATTCAAAACAAATAGAAAACGCTCAGAGGCCAATTATGCTCTGCTAATCAGTCCAATTAGAGAGGATGGGAGTTCAAATAGGCATAAAATTACATTCACCTTATGTGACCTAATTAGACTCAAAGCTTCATCTGACCAGCTGCCAGATAGACTTGTTATCTGGGCGCTGTGTGTGTTGCTGTGTAGCTCTGAGCCCTGAATGAGGTGTCCAATTGTCATTTCTTTCTTTTCTTCTAAATTCCTACTTCAATTTATTCACATCTTTTTTCACATCTGCTGTGATGTTAGCTTCTTTTTTTTAATTTATAACAACATGCAGCGTGGACATAAGTGTAAAGTTTTTGGCCGCAGTCTCATGGAGCCCGAAAATAAAAGGTTTCCAAAATTCAAGTTGCACATAATGCCCTTCTGTTCGAAGTGAAAATATATGCGGCTTGTTTAAATAATCGGGTGAGCTTAATGAGATTTATGAAGTCAAACCTGCCAAGCCGGTCTGCTCTTATACTTTCTCTTGTGTTGAAACACAAGGTTTTTGCCCTAATCTCCATCTCCCCATACGGAGCTGGGGATTTCCGAGTGTGCACGTTTCAGTCGGAGCAGACTGGTCACTCTTCAGCTGTGACATATGGCTTTTGACAGAGGGCATGCCTCAGCCATCGGTGCTCAGACGAGCCAATCATGTGGGGGTGCTTCAAGAAAACGTCGGACCCTCAGACAAGACAAGCAGCAGCTGGCAAACTACATCAATCTGCAATAAATGAACCGACTGGTAGATGGGATTATATGCCTAAATGCACAGCTAACCAGTCAATCCCAAAATGACCAGACAGCATCAGCTTGTGTGCATGACCCACTACCAGAGACGGGCATTATTCTGGGCCTCTGAAAGTAATTAATCATTCATAACCTGCCTCTACAGCCAAGCTTTGAGTCTGTCGATACACATTGACGTGAGCTACATATTCCCCCAATGACAAAAGATGACACCAGAAAAACCAAGCTGCACAGGTGCATCAACAAGTCATGGATTAAGATACATAAAAGTAACAGTGTAATCACATAAAAGTACCCAAATGCAAGTACATACCATTTGATTGATGAAATGCATAATAATGTAACCAAATGTGGAAAGTGGAATGTATTCCTGAGTAGTTGTATAAGTTGTATAGCTCATTTTTTTAATTCGATTCTATTCATGTATGTCCTTGAGCTGTTTTCTCCCTTTTTTAGATTGAATGTAAAAGTCAAAATTGTTAACTTAAAGCAAAGAACTTTAGTGTAGTAAATATAGTGGCATGGCAGTGAGATAGCACGCTGCGTGGCGTTTTTATTGCTTTTGATTGTTGGGCAACATTACGTTATTATGTGTGTCCATGTAACCTGCAGAGTCACACAATTCAGTGTCGGCAGATGGGAAAGACGGACAGACAGACAAATGATTCTCCAGCCACTTAACAGATCAATTATTTATCTCGCGTGCAGCCCCAAGTACACAGGGAACATTAAAGCATCATATGAAAAGTGAGTCATCATGAACAAAGTGTCAAACTTTGAACGGAGATCAAATCTATTCAATTTGACATTTCTGTCCTCGAACCCGAGCTGGTGATTTAATCTTGACACCAGCTTGGTTTATATTGTTTGAAATTCATAATCCCCTCATGGGCTGTTAAAATCCCTCAGGTTACAGGCCTCACTTCCACTTTTGCTGCCTGGGGGCTAATCTCAGATTATGGCCGTGGTCACAGGCAGGCCAGCCCCACGACATCCAACTGTACTCCTTGATGGATTGAAAAAAAAACTGAATAAAAGCTAATAGGCTTATAGCCAAGGCACTTTCCATTTCCAAGCTGTTCCTTTGAGTTTGTGATGTCTCTTGCTTTATGTATAGTTTTCACACTACCTTAAAAAAACATAAGTTTATAAGATATTATTGAAAGAAGAAAATTTGTATTATAGAAATATAGATCAACTATCTATTCATAAACCATGTTTTTTTCCCTTGTTCATCAAGAGCCAGATTTTTTTAAAAAAAAGAAAAAGAAATGAAAAGTTACCATTAAAGAAACATTTGGAGTGTAATTCAATATATTTTCTAATTGTGTAGCAGTGAGAAATTAAAGCAACTTCTTTGTATTTCTATCGACATATGATTACTTGATTTTACCTAACTGGTGGGAGGTTTCTCCAGTTTTGGCCTGTCAGCAGTGGTTAGTTGGCCTACCAGATGGCAGACTTTTTGCTGATTGTGACACATGGCTCAGAGTGAAGCCATGGCCTGATAGCCCAACCCAAGATAATTGGAATTTCATTAAGGGACTATATGTGTGTGTGCGTGAGAGTGGGTGTGGGTGTTTTGTGAGTCTTTATGGGTGTGTTTCGCTAAGGGCAATATTGAGGAAAGGGAAGGGGGGTCGGGGACTCCACCTGCTGCCACCTGTTCATCTTCTCAGTCCTATAAAAGCTGCTTCCTCACTGTCCAGGATCACAAACACCTTGGACCCCTTCAGACTGTCCTCCATCTGGACTTTACAAGTTACAGGGACCTGACACTGGACAAAACTGGACACCAGAGATTTTTCCGATACGTCTTTCGGCATCGCTTTTTCTCCTCAACCAACGGCCATGAAGTCTCGTCGAGCCAGCTGCACTGACTCTGGTTCCGAATCCTCCGAGCTGGACTCCAGGAGCCCCGAGAAGTACGAGACGGCCACGAGGCGACGGATGGCGGCCAACGCCAGGGAGAGGAAGCGGATGCAGGGCCTGAACACGGCCTTCGACCTCCTACGCAAAGTGGTGCCCCAGTGGGGCCAGGACAAGAAACTGTCCAAGTACGAAACCCTGCAGATGGCCCTCAGCTACATCATGGCCCTCAACCGGATCCTGACAGACGCCCGGAGGCACAACGCTCCTAGCAGGCAGTGGCTGGACCTGCAGTTTGACGTGGTGCAGCCTGAGAGCTACTCCTGCCTCATGAGGTACGACCATCCCACAGAGCAGGAGTATGTCCACTCCTCCCTGTCTTACCAGTACGACGGCCATCAGGTCCACGCATAAACTGCAGCCCCACGGTCGACAATCACTCATGTTGTTAGATACGAATGACAATGTGAATATTTGTTTTCTCCAATCTGGGGAACGGTAAATACGTTTGTATTGCTCTATTTCTTTTCTTTGTTTGTTTTTAAACCAATTTTTTGTACCTATTCAGTCTTTGTATGATGATCAGAGAGGTTTCTGATTCATTTTGAAGTCTAGCAATGTTGAGCAAATGTTTTGTTCGAACCATAGAGCTGGAAGACTTGTAGTGTCAATACAGTGACCATTAGATTGCTCTGATGACAGAGGCAATGAGGTGTTTTTTTTATCAGTTATTTTGATAAAGCCCAGAAATGTTGTGCAATGCCCAATGGACTTAGCTGTCTAGTTGAAGTCAAAATGTGACTATTTTGTCAGAATGTAAGTGCATGTTTGTAGAGTTGAAAAATAGATGTTATTTTTCACAGACCTCTATTTTGTTTAATTCTAGTTTTTCATTGAAAATAAAATAATTTTGTACGAACTGCCTAATTTATTCTTTTTTTCTTTGCCTTATTGTCAACTTCCTAACTATGGTGTTGGTCCTGTGTGTGACACATGGTGTGTGCCTAGTTTGAAATCTGACAATTGATCTCACCATCACAATGGACTTTCGAATATTTCAAAGCCACACAGATTCAAAGTTAAAGCAACTATCATAAGCTTAAATTTGTGGTTAAAATGGGGGACTTCAAAGGGAACAAACAACTGAGAGCATGATTTGTGTTGTGCAGGTCAGGTTCTGACCACTGGCTCGCCCCGCTCCCCGGTGCATAAATCACCCTTTTGTCCGGAGTTTCTGCAGGTGGAGATAAGATGCTTTTGCGTCACTGCTGGAACAAAAATATTCATTTGTTTAAGATTGACCATTTTTGGGGACAAAACAGAAGCATTGCAATGGTTAATTGTGGAAGTTTCTCTACTCACACAAATAAAATTAAAAACACATTTTGCACTTCAAAAGTACAAAAATCATTCACTATCCAGCGCAAACACAGACACGCCAGGAAGCCCTGTGACTGCTGACTGTTGGAGCCTCTTAGTTACAGAATTAAAAGGGCATCCTCCGCTATCCAAAAAAGAAAAAAATGACTGCTGTAGTTTTGAGCAAGTTTGAAAGGTGGCACAAGCCAGAGCAGATTAAGGAAGCCTGTGTGCCAGATCCCCAGCAGGGGAGCAGAAATTAAACTCCATTGTGTGCTAATGGCTGTGTGTAAGTGGTCTGTTCAGAGCCGCTGGAGCATGAACGCCCAAACTCACTCTGCACCATCTACAGGAGCCCATTAGATTCAACGTCCAAACAAGAATGCACTTTTTATCACGCTGCTGTGCTGACATCATATCATTTTCCATTGTCTTTGGTCTCGTGTATTTCAACAAACCCATCTAATAAATGGTTACTGTAACTGAGAACATCAGTGACATACATCAAATATTAGAAACATGAAATTTGACTTGGTATTTAAAAGTTTTTCTACATAAATAACAGATATCAACCTCGAACACTCACAAATGGGTCTAATGGACACTAACAGAGATGGTCATAATGGTTCACATACCATGTTAAGTGTTTCCGTCCCTAATAAACAATCTGACAGTTGGCATGCCAGAAAAGAATAGATGGCAATGTCAAAAGTGCATAATGTTAATGAGGCGGTGACACTCCAATTACTCTCCTTCAGTAGTTCAGACATGAGTGAACAGTTGGCCACAGAGTATAATCAACATGCAATTAATTGATTTCCTCAACAAGGGCGAGGAATGTTCTTGGATGAGTTGTTAATCAATAGTGACAACATTATGTTGAGCATGGAGGTAACCGAGAGGCGCAGGCTAACTGGACAGATTGAATGACATATTAATGGACATAAAACATTTTAAGAAGAAGATATGCACACGGAATTGACAACAGAGTAAAATGCCTTCCATTTCCCAGCTAATTCTTGTCACTTGAGATTTTTGCGTCCTCTTTGAAGCACAAAGTGACTGTACTGGTCACTTAATGCCATAGTGCATTATCAAAAGCTGATATGTTCTCTCAAAAAATAGCGACAGCTTTTTGCTGTACGTTTTGATCAGTAGACGTCCACACGCTGAAGAAAAGAAGTATGACAATGCAATACTGTTACAACGCCACCAACTTACGTCAGTGCATTTCAGATGCATTTCAAAACAGCAGACCAGTTGCTCCTCCCCCAACAGAGCTTAGGTCATCCCCTCTCTATAAAACATCTCTCCAGCAGGTGTTCAAAAGTTGCAGACACTTTTTGACTTCACTTTGTCTCTCCGATCTGAGCACCACACACCGATCGCCATGAAGTGCTTGAACAACCGGGCTGAGAGCCACCTCACCGGGCAGGTGGAGTGCGAGCTGGGCAGCATGGGCACCGGGGCTTGGGTGAACCACGGCTACTGTGCTTCCCCTCCACCTTTACCCCGGGCTGTCAGCACCATCTATAGCCCCCAGCCCGTCTTTCACAACTCCATGGACACTATGTACAAAAAAGATGCACCAGGCCGGTTCCAAGAGGAACCCTCGTCCTCTGACCAAAAGGTGATGAAGAAAAGAGGAGGATGCTGCTCTTTTATTAAAGGTAAGGACAGTTTCTTTCTCCCCACCTCAGCAGTATTTCTGCTAGGTTATTAACTATATGGATAATTTCTGTAGTTCAGAGAAATCATTTATATGGCTTGTTAACCAAAAAAACTAAGAGCTGTCTCATTTACATATCAAATCTAAGAATCTGCTTCGGCACGTGTTGCAATACATAACTGCAGGGTCTTGACTTTTTCCATAGGGTTCTGGGGCACAGCAATGACTGAAAACACCTCTGACAACAGGGAAAAGTTTATCCGAACCACTCTAAGGGAGTTACTGGTCTATATAATGTTCCTGGTGGACATTTGTCTCTGTAAGTGTTAAATTCCAATGTTTGCTGTCTTATGCTCTCTATCAAACGTCCTGATTTTGCAGCATTTGTTTTCAATGACTCGTTCTAAATGTTGTTTTGAATATGATGGCTTTAATATGTTTCAAAGTGACTTGGAGCGGGAATGTGTCATAATATGTGACGCCATGGCCTCTTTAGCTCAAAAGGCAAAGTTTTTGCTATAAGTTTTGCATGCTTTTTCTTTGGATGAAGCACTTTATATCAATGGACAAAGTATCAATGAAAAAAAGTTAATTGTTTTTTAACTATTATTTTTTGGCCCCATGAACCCTTGCAGGTTTCTGTTGATTGCCAGATCAATTTGACCTCCGGGCCAAAAATTACCCACTCTTGTTTTGATTGACTGTTACTAAAAGCATATATAATATGAATAATGTCTGTGCTACACTTTAGTTTCAGACTAAGGTTGTCTTATGTTGGTCTTTAGTCTCAGACTAACCTATCATCACAAATTCTGCCCCTTGTTCTGGAACTTGGGGGCCAACATATTTGGTGAATAAAGATAAAAACTCCCGTCAGAGTGACTACAGGACTTCAAACTGCTCAAAGATATTTCTCTTTGATTTTCTTAATCTTTAAAACATATTATATAATCTACATTACTAAATCCCCACATCTATCTAAATTATTGAACTATTTTCCTACAGAGTAATAGTTTATCCATTGAATTACATAATGTGTTCCTTTCTTTACTTCAGTGTAGCTCAATAACAGTTTTTAAACAATTTCACAGAATTTGAGGACAATCTGGATTGTTGATCTTTGCTTCGAGGCCAACCACAAATGCCCGTCCCATCTCTGTCTAAAAGCCATTGTTCAGATGAGCATTAGGAGTGAAAGGGACACTAGGACGTCTCTTTTGGCTTTTAGCGATAAGAGCAATTGGCCACATCTTTTGTTGCTTTCTCTGGGTTAGATTTACACTGTTTGATGAGGCTATTTGCGTCAGACCAGCTCACTCCCTGTTCAAACAAATGACAGCCCCCCTAATCAGGATCCATTTGACTGCAGCAGCGACAGAAACAAAGCCAAAAAATTCAATGAGGCCTTGCGTGTCTGGTGCAAGAGGCTGCCTTATCTTGGCTTCTGAATGGAGCAGCATTTAGAGATGCGCCTGAGCAAAGAAAGATAGAAACCTTTGACTAGTCGTTGACAATGTGATTGCGCTTACGTTCTTTCAGTGACATACGGTATGACCAGCTCAAGCACCTACTATTTCACCAAAGCTATGACGGACCTCTTTGTGAACACAGCCAGTGAGGGTGGGGTTAAGTTCCAGTCCATTGGCACCATGGCTGACTTCTGGACGGTGAGTATTCCTCAATTTTATTTTGTTTATCCAAACCAATGCAATTTTTTTGTTAAGTTCGAATCAAACTGCATCTGCTCCCTCTGTACATTAACAGTACACACAGGGTCCATTACTGGATGGCCTCTACTGGACAAAATGGTACAATAACCAGTCACTGAATAACGGAGACCAATCTTTCATCTACTATGAGAACCTGCTGCTGGGGGTTCCCAGGATGAGGCAGATCAAGATCAAGAACAACTCCTGTAAGGTCCACGAGGACTTCAGAGACGAGATCATGGGATGCTTCGACGTGTACAACGAGATCAAAGAGGATGACCACAACTTCGGCCTCATCAATGGCACCGCGTAAACCCCTCATTGTTGTTCAGAAAAATCCGTTGGTTGTCCCCGTATGTGCAGCAACTGCAGCAGGAACATTTCGTGTTCGCTACAGTTTGATCTCTTCTTCTTCTGCAGCTGGACCTACCACACCGAAAAAGACATCAAAGGTTCCTCTTACTGGGGTTTGCTGACCACCTACAGTGGAGCAGGGTACTACCAAGACCTGGGTCGCACCAAAGAGGAGAGCGCCGACATGCTGATGGAACTGGTGGACAACCTTTGGCTGGACCGCGGCACCAGAGCGGTCTTTGTCGACTTCTCCACTTACAACGCAAACATCAACATGTTCTGCGTTGTCAGGTGGGGACCATAGAGGCTAGTTCACCTTCTAATTTCCCGTTGCTTGTTCACAGGTTGACCAAAGTTTGGCCTTCATCTTTCAGGTTGGTGGTGGAGTTTCCTGCGACTGGGGGGGCAATCCCTTCCTACCAGATCAGAACAGTCAGGCTGATTCGATACATCACCTACTGGGATTACTTCATCCTCGGCTGTGAGTTGCTGTTCTGTGTGTTCATCCTCTACTACATCGTGGAGGAGATACTCGAGCTGCGGATACACAAATTCTCCTATTTCAACAGCATCTGGAACATACTGGATATTGTGGTCATACTGGTAAGAAGAACAAACAGCCTTCCTTTCAGTCCCATTGGCTTCTCTGGTATTCCTTGGTTTAAAAGAGTTTGACAATTTTCTTTTTTCCAGCTCGCCATCGTTGCAATCATCTTTAACATTTTCCGAACAATCAAAGTAGACAGCTTGCTTGGCAAGCTGTTAGAACAGCCTGATATCTACGCTGACTTTGAATTTCTGGCGTTCTGGCAAACACAGTATAACAACATGAACGCAGTCAACTTGTTCTTTGCATGGATCAAGGTGAGGTACCCACATCTTTCACCTTCCTCTTTCAGTCTTGGGCTGAACCTAAGAATGTGTGCTTCCTTCTCTCCACTTGTAGATTTTCAAGTACATCAGTTTCAATAAGACCATGACGCAGCTGTCCACCACTCTGGGTCGCTGTGCTAAAGACATCTTTGGATTTGCCATCATGTTCTTTATTGTCTTCTTTGCCTATGCTCAACTTGGCTATCTACTCTTTGGAACAGAGGTTGAATCTTTCAGCACCTTCGTGAAGTGCATGTAAGTGGTGTATAAAACCATAACAGGACGTCTGTCACTGCTTTGAGCACCGGTTAAACCCAGTGAGTAAATTATTTTGTCCTCTCTGCAGCTTCACTCAGTTCAGAATCATCCTCGGAGACTTTGACTATGACGCTATCGACCGCGCCAACAGAGTTCTTGGGCCAATCTACTTTGTTACCTATGTGTTCTTTGTATTCTTTGTTCTCCTGGTAAGACATCCTGCAGCAAAACATAACTGATAATGTATCCTTAAAAGGGTGCATTTCAGCATTAACAGGACCCATGCTTGTGTTCTTCCCTTAGAACATGTTTCTGGCCATCATAAATGATACATATTCAGAGGTTAAAGAGGAACTGTCATCCCAAAAAGATGACCTACAAATCACTGACATCATCAAACAGGTATCAAGAGTAAAAAAGAAAAAATTCCCATACGTTCATGGTTTATTGACAAATCTCTGAACATTTTCAATTTATTGTTCTTGCATACCAGAGCTACATGAAGACGATCATGAGGTTGAAGCTAAAAAAAGAGAAGATATCAGATGTACAGAAGGCTCTGCAATCTGGATCTGGGGAAATTGAATTCAAGGACTTCAGAGAAACGCTGAAGGAGTAAGAGATACGATTCCATCCACAAGACGGTTTTAGTATCTAACTGAACCCTCATTACACTGCTGCTTTTGCAGGATGGGTCATAGTGATCATGAAATATCTGCAGCCTTCTCACAGTTTGACCACGATGGGAATCAAATTCTAGATGCAGAGGAACAACAGAGAATGAAAAAAGAGCTGGCGGAAAAGAGGGTTTGTGCTCTTACAATTCCTTGTTATTTCTCTAAATTATGAGAGGCTTGTTTATTCGTTTTAAAGGGAACTAAACAGGTATAAAAACTGAGCACAGCTGTGTTTTCACTGCAACTTTTCTATTTTCTGCAGGATGCTCTCAATGCTGAACTCAACAATCTTGGACAGAATTATGGGAAGGATTTACCGGAAAAACCTTCTGTAACATTTAACGAGCAAAAGGGCGACTCTGGTAAAACTTTTGTGAATCAGGAAGAGTTTCTCAGGTGGGGAAAGGTTTTATATCAGTTTTGAAGCATTATGTAGTTGATTTTCTTTTTAACATTTCTCATCACAACGGAATATATAACCAGATTTTACTGTTACCTCCCTTTTTCGATTAAAGACTGGCCTCACAGGTGCTCAACATTGAAAGTTCCATGGCAAGCATCACATCCAGGATTGAGCTGATCATGGACAAACTGGGACAACATGAAAAAGCTAAAGCTATGAAAACAGCCCCAATGATGCTTGTCGCCAATAACAAAGTGAGTATAACGAATAAGTAACCAGTTTTCTTGTGTTCATCAACTTTTAACCAGAGTATAAGGGTCTCACCTTACATATAGCAAAGCATTACAGCACTCTGACACTAGAATATAATCACTCAGCACTGAAATGATGTAACGAATCCGACTGAACTCTCTTACGTCTAATCAGAAATGTTCAGAACTATTTATTTTCTATGATCTCTTCTCAGAGTGGCAACTCAGCCTCTGATAGCCAAGTCATGGTTCATGTGGACAGAGCAACCAAAGCTGAGATGTCCTCCAGGAAACCAGCAGCTCGGACCAGCTCCTCCTTCAACTCTAACATGTGATCCGCCTCCGAGTCTCATCTTTAACCCCACTGACACAACCCCCCCCTGAAGCCTCACAAACCTCCTTTAGCCCATGTCAGTTCAGTGAGAAGTGTATCCCTGAGCTTGAAAAGATAGTGACATTCAAAGAGCCACTGTTCCCGTGGAAACGTGTAAATGCTGTCTAAATGTCTCTAAAGGTCTTTGCTTACTAGGCGCCTGATCTTAACAACTGGCTCAAACGTACGCACAGATAGATGTATAAGCGGCTACCCTTGTGAGATGCTAATGTAAATCTATGTACTATTAGTTTTGCAAAATAAATCTATATTCAACAATATGTTTAGCAATATAGAAAAGATGTTATCAAAGGTATAAAATATAATTTATGTACTTCTGCCAAATGCCAAGTTGTAAGTAAGCTAAGTTGCTTTGCTTCAGTCCCACAATGGTGAGAAGTCTTCATTTTCTCTCGTCTGTCTCTTAGATTTCATCGTTTCGTGATTGAGATACTATTGACCAATCCATTGATGCTCAGATCCGATGCTGGAAATAAAATAGATACATTTAAAAAATGTACTTGTAAATAAATGGATGTAAGAAACGTAACTATTAATAAAGATCTACTTACATTACAGTACCTTGCAATGGTCTTTAAACCGCAATTTAAAAAAATTGCATCCAAGACTTGAAAGCTTTTTTTAAAAAATCGGAACTGATCTTGAGTGGAAACAGGGACAAAAGGCTGCTTTTTACAACATGACACAAGAACTGGACTGAAATCAGAGGCCACACCCATACCACACCTTTATTGAAGCAGCATAAGCTCATCCTAAGTAATTGCTGAAATGGAGCTAATCCTGAAGACTATTTCCAGAACTGAATAGAATTAAAAGGGTTCAATCTTCTTCAGTTTTTCCCCCTCATATACAGTGTTTCTATTAGTGCTTGCTTGTGCTAGAAAAGGTTCCTATGCCCGTTTACTAACACTATAATGACATGAGGGCATAGTAGTTTTTCAGTTATATAACACTAAATATTCAGATTAATCACTTCGAACCTAAGAACTAATCTCTATAGAAAAAATCACCTAGAATCCCAGTAGCTGAGTTTGAGAGATGTTAAATATGTCTTTTACATGGTCTGGTTAGTAGATTATCGGTCAAAAGCACCCTTTATCAGTCTAATCAAAGAAACAGAACAACCAGGTACAAACGTTTCTTTATTTGAAGTGACCTGCCCAGTTTTTTCCAATAAATGGGAAAACTGATTTCATCATTTATTATTAAACATCACTTCCATTGTTCAACTTAGGAGCAAAAACTGCCATTACATTCAGAATTGTAAGCATCACGTCATCAGTGTGCAGCTGGAGCCGATGCTTCCCGCAGCACCACCACCATGGCACACCAACAAAAACAAAACAAAACCAAAAAAAGGGATGAAGCTGTGAAGAATTTCAATTTCAAAATCAAAGCTTTCTCAAACAACTCAACACGTTTGAACTCTCTGACAAATCAATTAAGGCGTAGTCATAAATCAGACTGCTGAAATGAAGCGATGGGTGTGCAATTTCCTACCAATCTACCTACAATATGTACACTGAGTTTCACAGAGGTTCATGATCAACGTTTCTATTTACACGCTCAATAGACACGACCCTGTTTCAAGTCTTCAACACTCCCCACTCCAAGAAACAACTAAAGCATCATCTGAATCAAACAAATGAGAAGGAGGGTCAAAGGTGAGCAATACACTGTACAGAATGGCACAAATCTAATTTCAAATGGAAGGATTTTCTGAAATAATCCTGGTTTTCTTCAGCGATGTATCCTTATCAATAATTTAAAGGGCTATGAGGACGTGTTAAAGATAAAACTCAGGGGATCGCATCGCAGTCAGTCGCAAATGTTCGATTTGGTGAAAACGTCCCTTAATTCAGAGGGTGTTTTAGCCAATAAAAATGGACGCATTATTTATTATTAGCTGAGGTTAGCAAAGGGGGGGCCGAGGTGGAAAACAGTTCACATGTTGTCTTTCTTGCTGAGCAGTCTGTACAACTTTTTCTGTAAAGTGTGTGCTCCAAGCTTTCCTGTGAGACACACGATCAGAAATCAGTCAGTTTTGCCTCAAATAAGAGAGGGGGAAAAAAAGAAAAGAAATAAAACTGTGTCTCTGCGACCAAAAAACAAGAAAATCACAATCGTTTTTTTTTTTTTTTGCTTTCTGAGGTGTAAGTAAAATTTCTTTGTACACAAATTTTATCCAGGAGATTTCACACCTCACAATTCTCTCCCTTAAAGCCACAGCTGTTTTTACAAATAGTCTCTTTACATATACTGGAACGGTAAACAACACTGCTGCTCCGGGGCCTCTATTCACAAAGCATTCTCTCCCCCCTGGCCAGTGACCCGGAGGTCCAGCCCGACCATAGCGGCTCGTTCCTGTACTCTGTGCAGTCAGAAGCGGACCGATCGGTCTATACAAATAATATGAGACTGTGTGGGGTTTGCAAACCTGGCCTTGGTTATTAAAAGTTGAGGGGACATTTGTCCTCCCAACATGTCTGCAAACAGTTTCATAGCTCTGTCGGTGAGCTGCTGAAGTGTGTGCTTTAGGAAAGCAAGAAAACAAACAAACTAACTTGTGCCTTCTTTCTGTTCTTAGGTTTTCAAAATAAGAGTTATGACTTGACTTGGGAAAAAAACAAAACAACTTTGACTATATATGTGATGAGAAGAAAGGCATGGTGTTTGGCGCCTATGTTAAAGGAGACACTATATGTTATATTTTTATCCTGAGGTCTTTAGGTCTTTATCAAGCTTTGGTCAGGCACACAAGGACAATACAGCAGCTCCTTTTCCTTCCACTAATTTGTTGTAAAAACTTTGTGCTGTGAACCGACCAAAGCTGTTAACGCAAACACAGAGGAACCCTACTTCCCCGTTGTTTTATTCCTTGGTGACTTGCCTAAATATTTCTTAGTTTAACATAATATGGCCCCTTTAACATAAACAGCCTCTTGTCAAATGCTAAAAAGGGGCCGAACATTAACAAACATTGGTATATATCCCTAATTGCGGAGACACAGACAGCTTGTTTTGGCTTCCCTGCAGAATTCCAAGAGCACTTCACCGTAATCAATCGCCGTTAAATTAACTTAAAAAGTCCAGACTCTAATGGACCGTCGTTTATGACAACTAAGAAACTGCTCGTTTAGGCGCAACTACGCTCTATAAAGGCTTTGTGAATACGGCCCCCGGCCTGTTACCACAGCAGCTGTCCAGCTGAGAGAGCACGCTTCGGCCAGGGAGCCGGCTCACTGCGTCTGGTAGCCAGCCATGCCGAAATTGCCTATGTTGGACATGACTGTGCCAGGAGGGGCCCCGGCCTGGGCTGACGGGGAGCCGAAGCCACCCATCCAGGGGGTTGACTGCGACTGCCTGCGAGAGATCGAGCAGAAAAAAAAAAGGAGCGGTGGGTTTGTGGTTAGCATCTTTTCACACTCAGAGGCTGGCAGGTCCCACTGGGTGCTGGGGAAACTCACTCTACTCCAAATCCCTGCTGGTTCCACGTCTGACCGTACATGTTGTAGGAGGGAACCTGCCACCCGTTGGTCACATACTGCCCATACTGCTGCTGTGGATTCCCGTACACCTGGTTCCACTGCCCCCACTGACCGTACTCAAACTGAATGGGGAAAAAAAAGAGAGGGGGGTTATGTTTCAGCTGTCCTGTCATGTTCTCCTGCTCTGGAAACCTTCTGAAAAATAGGCCAAAAGTGTGTTGTTTTTACTTCCCCAGACCATTTTACCACAGTTAACTTAGTGCTGCCACCTCGGTCTTTGTGGAATGGTGTAAATAAAGCTTGCAATTTTGACAGCCTTTTGCACTTATACTCAGATCAACGAAATAACTGAAACTGGCACGACTTTCTCGCGATCGGTCGGATTCTTTCTACCTGCTGTGGATTTTTTGCCATGTCGGGCGACTCTTTGCCCCAGTAACACTTCACTATGTGGCCCTCAATGGCGGTGCCATTTACGGACACGATGGCGTGGGCGGCGCTGTCGTGGGAGGAGAACCTGGCGAGGAAACGTCAGAGTACAGAGTGGTGAAACCGGGGCCTTGTGACAACCAGAGAGGTCAAACGCTCCAGTAATGGCAACCGATAGCGGGATGAGGGATAAATTCATCCTTCGGTTGTCGTGTGCTGACATCTAGAGGCCAAAGGCTGCAATGGACTCTACCTGATGAAAGAATATCCCTTTTCGGGGAAAACCCTGACTTCCATTATTTGGCCAAATGGGGAGAAGGTCTGTCTCATGAGATGTTCTGAAAGAATAAAAACAAAAAAACAAGTCTTGTTAGCTGGTTGGGTGGTGCAGGTCGGCCCTCTTGAAAAGGTAACACTTGCCTGATAGACCTGACTGGATCCCGCCACAGTACACCGTGCAGTTCTGGGGGCTGGACTGGGTCACGACGTCGTCAAACTTCAGCTGCTTTGAACCATCTGAAAAAACAAAAAACACATACATTTCATAGGGTTTATTTCTGTGGTTAATGCTGAGGGTCATTTAGGGCAACAGATTTTCTCATTACGCCTGCTTACATTTTTTTTTTGTCGGGTTTACCAAAATTCTGTGTAATATCACATGATGAAAATCCATTTTAAGAGGGATTTCCTCCTGAACACTCACTGTCCTGAGCACTTTTGGGTGCCGGGGGTTTACGCGTCGCCCAGTTCGTCCTGATTTGGCGTCCTCCCAGCCACTGTCCCGCCATGTGAACGATGGCGTTCTCTGCATCCTAGAAATCAGAATCCAACGCAGTTACCCCTCTGGTTTTCGATAGGCTTCTCCAGAAATGATGCACTGCTTCTTGCAATTCGATATCTAAACTAACACTGGCAATAAAGCCACTATTCAACTGCAGGGGGTTTTGTTTTGATTTTGTTTTAGCAAATGCAGAAGTCTATCAAAATGTCTGCCAAAGTATTTATGCAGAGTAAGAAAGAAATAAACATAACCTTCAGTCTGTGTTCTTGCGATGGAGCCTTACCAGTTTGTTGTAGAAGGACACAAATCCATACCCCTTTGATTTGCCGGTGGTCATGTCCTTCACAACACGAGCGTCTCTGGAGGGAAACGTAACAAAAAAAGAACGTCAGCGCACTTCATAATCTGAATCATCAAACTAAAAAAGGAACCACGCAAAACACACTGAACTGTGAATCCTCATCTCTGTTCTACATTAAGGTAAATTAGCTATCATGGTGTTGTAATGAGCACTGACTCCATATATTACTTGAAAGCAACACTTGAAATCAAAAGAATAAAAAACAAAAAAAACAAGTACAAATACATGCAGCCTACAGTACTGTTTATAAAAAAAAAGGATCTTTACCACTAGAGCACCTTTTTTTGGCTCACTCCTCACAACAGTAGGCTAGTGATTAAAACTCACAAAGGAACGGATATGGATTACCATGCATTCTTAAAATCTGCTGTGGGTGCTCTTCCTACAGATAGAAATATATAGAAAATATCAGAAGAGAAAAAAAGGAATTAAATGGCATACATGGCCTGTTAACAGATTTCTTTATTTTTCCTGGTCAATTCTTTACCACCAAAATGGAGTATGGAGTTTGGGAAGCTGTAAATTTTGAGAAATTGACATTTTCAGCACTTTCGGAAGAGGATCAATGCACTACAAACAACACTATGCAAAATCAAAATGAGACAATTTCAACACAGAGTCAGAGGAATACACTGAATATTGGAATTTGTTAATCTAAACTATAGAAGGTTAATACAAAAAATAGACATATGGAATAAAAATGGAATAAATAGAGAAAAAAACTACATCTGTGTCTCCAGAGTGCACAGTTCCTTGCTGTTAGCCTTCAAGCTCCTGTCCAATCCTATGAGCATGTCTGTAAAATAACCAAAGTGCTATTACTTCACTGAGACGCACAACTAAAGGTGGTTCAGGCTCAAAGACAAAGCTTACAGTTTGCTGGCAAACTGTAAGCTTTGTCTTTGCTCCACTTTACTTACCACACCCTACATGTGTATAAAAAGGCAAGAACATACTAACAGACCACAAGTTCCCTGGAATTGATGTTGGGAATTATTCTAAACAGAATTAATTTCATTCTGTTGAAGGATTAAATAAACAAAAAACATATAAAAAACATGACAATCTTCATATAATATTTTCAAAGTTTATGTTAGTCCACCATCAACTATGTTTACATGCATAGACTAGGGTTGTTTTATGAGAGAACAAACAAACCTACATGACAGCATCCTTTAATACTCAACATTTTCAATAATTAAGGACTTTTGAGCTTTTTGTTAAAAAATACTAAAGGAAATGTTCCAATTAGGATTGTGTCCAGAGTCAAATGGCTAAAACAGGGGGAAGCAGACCGGAATCACAGATAAGGACAGATGTGATGGATCCGTTTGTAATGGACAGATGCTCACTCTCTACAACACTGATGAGGGATGTTTTCTGCTTTCCCGTTAAAATCTATCCAGCATTTTCTGAGGGGGTCGTCTTTAGCAGAAACTGTGGTCCACCTTGAGGAACGATCAAACACCGGTAGTTCATGCAGCTGGACCGGGGCAGTGGCCTTTGGGAGCAGTAATTAGAATGTATCACACCTTGTTTTTGTGGGTGTCCTGCTAGTAAAAACATTTTCTCGTTCCTGTCATGTGCTTCCTCAGTAGAGTTAGCCTGCCTGTGTCAGGAAAACATTTATTTCCTTGCCTGTCTGTTGTTAATTTAGGATATTTATACGTGTGTTTTCTTCTAATCTAATTCATTTTTTAGCAAAAGAGTTATGATATGCTCTATTATCTTCTCAGCCAAGGTGCAGACAGAGGGAGGAAGATTTGGGGCAATTAAAAGTTTGCCTTGGTCATTTAAAGAGCATGCTCTCTTTCCTAACATGTAGACCTATACATTTCACACCCTTGTGTATGCATGTAAACATGGTGATAAATGACCACATCAGGGTGTGAACTGGCATTAGACAGTATTCAAAGACATAAATATATCTAATTTAAGAGTAATCAGTATTCAAAGATTAGGCATTAAAACTCTGCATTACATCTGATTAAAAAAACAACAACTTTATATCATAAACTTACGAGATTTTCCCAAAAGGCGCAAAAGCAGCCCTGACATCTTCAGTGGAAATCTCAGGGTTCAAATCACCCACAAACACATGGAAGTGATCTATAATGAGATCAAAATGAAGAAAAGAGACACCATTCACACATTGGTTTTAAACCTGACTTCAGTGAATGAAAGCAGTTGCCGGGTCAGGACTCACTGGATGTGTCTTTCTTCTGGCTGCTCGGGGTGGTGGCCCAATTTACTTTAACCTCCTGTAAAAGCAGACACATAGGTACTTTAGTCGCATCTAATGAATCAGAGAATTCATTCAACATATAAACTCTATATCTCTATTGGTTATTTCCAAGCAGACATTCTACTCTGTTACCTTTCCTAATATCTTCCTGCCGTTCATGGCTGCAAGGGCTGCAGCGGCATCTCTGTGCTCAAAAAACTCCACAAAGCAATATGGGTCAGTGCTTGTGTGCTGCAGGAGACAATGAAAGACACAGAGTACATACGGTTGGTTTATACAGCTTAGTGTCCATCATTTAAATTTTTGCTTTACAAATACAATAAACAAAACGTGGGGCAATAACCTTTATTGTGCCCATTTCCTACTGAGGTGTTATATAGATAGAAATCAAAGGCAATCTCCTAATCTTGGCTACTAACCTCTGTGATCATTTTGCAGCTCTTGCATGGTCCTATCTGGGTGAAGAGTTGTAGGATTAAGATCTCTGTTACATCTCGGGAAAGGTTTCCCACGTACCTGGGTGGAAAGATGGATATTCAAATTGTCAAAACAGTCTACTCGATTTATAATTAGGCGATTTAATTTAGTCACTGACTATTTGATAGTTAAATCGTACCTAATTCCCAAAATGTGGGATTATCAACGTGACGTTATTTACATTAGCTCGTGTGGCCTCAAGTTAAAAACGGCTAAGAATAGGCAATAACATCTATAAGGTCATAATAATTACATCAGATAAATATTTATTATTAGATCTAAAACTCATGATGTTGACGTAAGCAGATGACAGAGGGTTCAGGTTAGTATTTTCTTCACCGGGTTATCGCCTTTGGTAGCTAAATTAGCCACCGGTTCCAGACGGTGACCAACCTAAAGAAACTTAGCGCAAAGGCTGGAAATCTGACATTACTTACAAGGTTCTGGGGTGGGTTTCGTCGTCCATGATCAATCCCGATTTACCCAGGTCAGTAAACGTTAGCAACTTGATAGTTAGCTGACGTTAACTGACGATGTATGCTGTTAACAACAACAACTAGCCAACTAGCTTACAAGCTAGCTAACCGGGCAATAGATCTTACGTCACACTTTGATTCCACGGAGTGCGCATGCGTGTGGAGGATCCCCTAGCTAGTTACGGCCAAGTACATAAAGAGCCGATATATTTTTACAATTTCAGTGACAAAACTGCAATTATGTCAAAGACGAATGTCTTTATGTGTCATATTACTCATTCATAAATTGGGGCCACGGTCAGAACACCAGACACAATTAGAATAGTCTTGAGCGAGTATTTTTTGTGCTAGGCTTTTACTTTGAAATGGATTGAATGGATGAGCTTGTTTTAGTCACCTGTGCTGTGCGGCCCATTATGTTACTCGAACCAGGGTGACATTTCTGGAATCTTAAGTTGACCATTTAAAGTTGGCTTCACTTTAAACACATTTAAAATATCACGTATGCGTCTTGTGTCGGTCCTATCAACCCCTCAAACTTCAGGACAGACTTACGACCCAATTACAGAGAGAAAGACACATATCAAACACATACAACATATAGATAGAAATCAACCCTCAGCTAGAATATGTCATTACCAGCTCTGTCTGATATACATTTTATGTGTTCACTCATGTTTGAAAAATGTAGAAAATTAGAATTTGATTGTTATGCCAGTTACAACAAACTGTATACACGTTTAAATGTGTTCTTATAAAACACACCTGCACACTATGAAAACATTTTTTTAGTTGTCTGAGCATGTTTTTATGTTAAGTTTAGCTTTTTTTAATCAAAGCAAATAACTAAGAGGCATCGAATTCTAAATACATTAAAATTGGTAGCAGAAGTAAACAATATTTAGATGCACCTTGCCCTACTTGTAAAACTAAATATCAAATTTGAGATGATTTATTTGTTTTTTTTTCTCCAATTCTTATCTAGAGTGTCTGTAAATGAAGAAGCATATTAAATATATGTTCCCTAAATATGCAAAATTGGAGGAGTCCTCTAATTGAAGAAAATCTGTCAATAGAAATGTCACTGCTCCTACACTACATTACACCATTAGTTTCATAAGTGTGTGCCAAACCCAGACTGAGTCTCCCTGGACACTATCTTCCATGTGGGAGTCAGAGTATTTATTTTGATCTAGAGGAATTTTTGGGATTCCCTTGTCAATAGAAGCAGAAAATTTGGGTTAACACAACAAGGGTTCCCTGCTCAACGATATGCCAAAACAAATGAGTCAGCATGAGAGAATATGGTTTCCCCTGTGGCTCCACTAATAAAACTGAGAAATAGATACTCTCGGGGTGAACAAATAAAGGAATTCTAAGCAGACGTGTCTGATGGGAAGTCTGCGACATAACAAGTAGAGTACCCAAGCCTCCGTATCCAGCGCTGCTCCGCCGCCCCCAACATTAACCCGGCTATTTCCAGAAACTTCCAGCCCACTTTCCCACGTCACTTGAAGGAATCTTTAAAGCGTCCGTCGCCTGTTTGAAATGTCTCAATACTCCGCAGCCAGCAACATGAACGCCGTAAAGACACAGTCGCCGACACTGATAATGGCAAGCAATGACAACGAACCTCTCCCCCTCGGCTGGGAAGTAAAAATTGACCCCCACACCGGATGGCCGTTCTTTGTGGACCACAATAACCGCACCACAACCTGGAATGACCCGAGACACGACGGCAAAAAGGTAAGAGGCGCCATAAAATAAAGTTGGCGTGTCACTCTTCAAGGGGGCTAACGTTTCAGCCGTTAGTCGGCGTTTTTTTTCTATTAAACTGCGTCGGTCAAAACGCGTTATTTGGTCTGAGGAAATAACGGAGTGTGGCAAAAAAATCTTTACGCTAGTCGGTTGGTATATATATATTAATGTTGGCGTCCATAGGCCTTGTTTGGCACCGTTACCTCCCCCTCACGGACAGCTCATGAGCCTATTATAACGGGTGATCAACCCTGCCATGTTCCCGTGTCATGGTTTAACACTATTATTACTCGATGAGTCACCCTGCAGTATGTAAAAAGCTACCTATGATGAGCTTCCAGGGGTTTTAACGGCGTTTGTTTTGTAGCGGGGGGGGGACACGGCGGCGTGCTGCTCTTTATAAACTTTTTCCCTTACAAGGATTGAGGCCAGCCCGGGCTGCCTCTTGCCCGTAGAGCCCGCACAAAAAAGAAAAAAGAAAAAGGAGACGGCCGCTGTCGCGTTCAGGGGTCTGCAGTGAAAAGCCGTGGGCCGAAGCGAGCCCCCGGAGCCTGCCAGCTGGTAATCTGTCGTCTCAGGGACAGACACTGTTTTCCAAAGTTAGTGTCCAGAGGAATCTGCTAGAAAGACACAGCTGTTGGGGGATAAAATTGGTGCGCTGGTGCGGTGTCCCGTACAGCCAGAGGGCGAAGGGTCGTTCACAGCTATTTCATAACTTCCAAGCTGGGGGGAAAAGGCCAGTGGTCAACCCTGGAATTCCACCAGATTTGCTATTAGGTTCAGAGTGCGAATTTGTGCTCAGATATTGAACCATCAGACCTGTTGCTTTTACTCACTTGGGAAGTTATTTGGAACATTAGCTAATGGAAACTGACATAACTCCCCTGTGATGTGTTTTGCTATTGGGATTTCCCCTCCTATCTGATCATTTTACCTTTAGTCTACAGTAAGTGTACTCTTTGATGGTATTATTGCAGACAGAGTTTTCATGAAAAGTTGTCAAAAAGCTAATTAAAACACATATTTACTGTGACATAGTGATTAACAGTCAATAACATGTCAGCACAGAGGGTGTGCCAAACTATCAAGAGTGGAAATTCATTAGGGTGATGTCACTCAGATTCTGGAGCAAAATATCCATTCCAGACATAGCGGTCGCCTGAGTTGAAATGTGCTCATGTTGAAGAGATGCCCGTTAATCAGGAGTTTTTTAATAGAAGACGCAGAGAAGTGATACTTTTGGCACCTCTCTGTAAAGATGGGATGTTTTAACATATAGCCTTTGTAATCATCTCAGGGGAGAAAAAACCCTCTTTTTGCGTATGGAAATGAGATTGCTGTCCATGAGGTAATAGATGTTTTGTTTAATTGTGATATAATGAGAATTTGAGTGAAAAGAAAAAAAGCGAAGGCTCCTTTTATGGGACAAGTGATCGATTTGTGGTCGGCTTTTTTCAGAATCGGGAAATATCAGCCAATGGACCCAACATACCGCCAGAACCGAGTCCCCAGGAGGCACGGAAGTCTTTTGTGAGGGAGATGAAGCACCCGATTCTCCGGCCAGGTTACGTTCCCATCCCGGTTTTCCACGATGGCGCCGAACTGAGACAGCAGCAGCAGCAGCAGCATCCCTGTTACTCCTACATCCAGCCGACCACAGCACAGAACGTCCGGACAGATGGACAGACGCCGTCCCCGACGCCAGGGGTCCACGTCAGGCCTAGATCACCTTTACACGGACCCCCAGACAGCTGCCCCACCGAACCCGGAAAGGCCAGCTCACCCGTTTCACAAACATCAGAGGTAAGGCTTGAGCTCAGGCCTGCTTTTACCCACCCTACAAGTACAACACAGCAACACACATATTGGAAACAAGGTACTGATTTCTTGCTTCT